CCAAGCTCAAATTTTATTTTGAATGGATAATTATTGATTACAAGTCTTTTGCAATGTATGTAAGGCAAAGAAAAACTGCCGAAAAAAAACGTCGAAGGCCGTAGCAACGGCATCCTTTGGCCGTTAGATCAATATCAAAATCTCTATTTATTCGTTTTTAAGTGTTTGAAACGTGCTGAGTCAAATTTATTTACACTGTACTGTTTACAAATTAACTTAAAAAAATCGATAACAACAATGACAACATTATCTGTAAATAGTTCAACGTTTCTTCCATTTGATGTTAGTCGCATACGATCGACATTAGATGAAAAAACTTTATCGACGAATGCTTTACAATTTATGAATGAGTTAGAAACAATGCAAAAGAAACGTGTGGAAAATCCGTCAGTAAAAAATTTAGCAAACCCTAGTAACATACAACAATTGATGACGATGATGAAAGGTAGTTAATGATTAATGAAGTATGAATGCATTATATTTATCTCTCTTTTAATTTACTTATAGGGGCTTCAAAACAAACAAACTCATTGAATACAACGTAGGAATAAAAAGCTAATCTCAGATGTAGACTCCAACTTCGGAGTTGAACTTCTTTTTAGTGAAGTTGGAGTTGCGTTTTTATTAGACTGGAGTTGAGCTGAGTTTGAGCTGAGTTGAGCAACTCCACAACTCTAGTTCAAAATTTTGATAACTCTGAGGATTTTTCCCTGTTTTCTGTTACACCACACATTGTCGTTCTATAAAGCGATGTGAACATATGTTCAACATTTATATATTCTGCATATGTTATAATTGATACACACGTGTACAAAGAAAAAGGAGAAATATACAAAGTTCATCCCGAGATGTTTTTAGCTATAAAAAAGGTATACTGATAGATGACTGAATATGTCTTTTAGTTTTTTATTCACTTTAGCCCCTTTAATCGCTTTGTAAGGTACAAGTCGTAGTCAATAACAGTTTGACTATGTATATGTTAGAATACAAGACTGAGTATAACTTTTTCATAGTTAAAAACATCTCGGGACAGACTTTGTAGCATTTCCCAGTCGCCATCTACCTAGTATAAGAATATTGTTGGAAGAAATAGACAACTGCTAATAAAGTAAATAAGAAAACGAATTCAGACAAAATAAATTCTTATTGGAGTTGAAACGATTTGAAGTTAAATGTAGCCGGAGTTACCCATCTCTGATCAGATACATGTACTATCTATTAAGATTAGCAGAAAATATTAGTGTACTACCAATTTCGAGAAATTTCTTTTAAAAATCAAAGTACTTTCTGTTGATTTTTAAAATTTTTATTGGATTTATTGGAAATCTGAAATATTTTGGAGCATTTTTGAATAAGTGATGAATGTTTTTATATTTTTGTGAAAAAGATTATTTCATCTAATATAGATGTTTATCAAATTTTTAATATTATATTGTGAAACCAAACATTACTGCGAGAATTAGCGTGGTCTACAATCTATATGTGATACAACCTCGTCTTTTTCATTTAACAGGTACATCATCTGAGATTGAGATGGTCACCAAATATATGAGAATATCAAATAAAACTTTTGCTATAGGATGGTGAAAATGTGGCTCTATTTGTGAAAACTTCCTAGGATTTGTCCGTTTTCCGAAGGAAAAGGAAGTTTGAAGTATAAAGTTTATATACGAGGATTTTTGTGGTTTCTCGAGGGCTTTTTATCAGCAGCTGTAAACACACATTCCAGTAGCTGTAAACTTTCGAGGTGAAATTGTGATTGACCAAATTTCACCAAATTTCAATATAAATTTGGTGTTTACAGCTGGGTAATAGTAAAACATGAAGACACCCACAGACACCCACAGACAGCACACAGACAGCCACAGACAGCTGCACAGACAGCACACATAAAACCACAGACAGCCACAGACAGCTACACAGACATCCATGGATGTCTGTGTTTGGATGTCTGTGTAGCTGTCTGTAGCTATCTGTGATTGTATGTGTGCTGTCTGTGTGCTGTCTGTGGGTGTCTGTGAGTGTCTGCGGGTGTCTGTGGGTGTCTTCATGTTTTACTATTACCCAAGGAAAGTATATCCGGATGGATAACTGTTTTCATATAAGAAGATGAAAGTTCTATTCGTGTACACCTGTGAGAAGTTTCAATCTATAAAGAGAAACCGATACACACTAGTATCCCTTCAAAATAAAATTTTCTACATTTCGAACCTTCTGTGTATTGATCAGGCAGACTGATCTTTCCCTCTAATTTCATAGACGCCGCTGCAAGTTTAAAAATAGTATGGACAGTTCTTACTTTTAAAATTGAGACGTTGAACTTTATAACTTCTGCAATATTTTCTGTTTAACTCATTGTTCTTATGTTCGTCGTGTATCGTATTATATGATTACACACACCCCATTTATATACGCATATGAAGGAGGATACTCTCTGTAGTATAAAAATTAATTCACGAATCTGTTTGGGATACGACATCGTCTTGGGATTATCACTACTTACCTCATTTAGTCAGACGAGAAAATGGATTTATGAGGATGTGTTAAATTAAAACTTGAAATTATTAATTTTAAGCTACTATTTTTCATGATTAGAATAATCTGTTACGAATAAATTTTGAATCCTTATTTATACTCATAAAATTTATTGTTATTTCGCGACGTTTTGCAGTCCACAGTGTTCTTTCTTCAGGCGAGATGATGATATGACAGGAGAGAAAAGACATACGTATACTGCAAAATAAGTTATCATGATAATTCAACTGATAATTAAAAGAGAAATGGAGAAAAGAGAGAAAGCTAAAGAAAGCGAAATCTTCAAAATTCTACTTTTGTAATGCTTCTATAGTCTCTTCCAGTCCCATTACGTAGTTTTGTTCCACACTGATCATTTGTTGAGATGTAGATAGTTGAGGGGTTCTTTGACATTGTAGTTATTGACGGATGAGCCGTCTTTGGAGTTGTTACCTTCTTTGTTTTGATAATATTTTGTTTCATTTGTTTCATTCGAATATTGATATTGTTGCCCAGATTAGGCAGAATCCATTGTTTCCAGAAACCATTGTGTGATCATCGGAGAACAGTTTGATCGGATAGCCACACAATGGACTCTGGTGATCAAATAATGGATTCTGCCTAATCTGGGCAATAATATCAATATTCGAATGAAACAAAAAGAAGCAAAATATTATCAAAACAAAGAAGGTAACAACTCAAAAGACGGCTCATCCGTCAATAACCACAATCTCAAAGAACCCCTCAACCATCTACATCTCAACAGATGATCAGTGTGGAACAAAACTACGTAATGGGACTGGAAGAGACTATAGAAGCATTATAGTCTATAGTAAGTATTATTAAGACTATAGTAAGCATTATTAAGTATCAGAGAATCTTATCTTCATAATGATAGTGGTAAGAGAAAAAAGAGCAGAGAGCTAATTAAGAAGGAAACCATTAAATTGTTGGAGTTTAAGCGTCATCAAGCTGAATTTGAAATTAAAGTGGTTTAAGCATTTTCAATAGCAGCAGATCGGAAGGGACACTATAATTATGTTGAAGTAACATCACTAGTGAAGCACAACGCGTTTTTCGATACATAGTTCAGATAAACTATTACTTTTACACAAAAATTCAACAATTTTCGTCATTAAATAATAACAACCGGATGTGTACGGTTAGTTTGTTGCATGAAGAATCGTTTGGTCTAGTCAAACTTTTTATCTTGAAGCAGATTTTATTGAATAACGCTGTAGAGTATGAAGTGAAATTTTTTTTCTAAAGCACACGACTTTCTTGGACATCTTTTCACTAAGACATTTCTTACTCAACCTATACGCTTTTTTTCTGTCTCATGCGCTTGAGATATACGCATACCTTTTATCCTTTTCTCTTTCTTCGTTCAATCGGAATTCAGATATATATTTCTTCCTTTAAACATGATATTTAGACTGTGTGTATACAGCATATGCGTTCCATGTAAAGATGTCTTCATATTCTCATTTTGAACGAGACATACAAAAAAACAAACAACTGTTGTGTATAAAGCATTTCTCGATCTTTCAACGCCGTATGAATTTTTATTACGAATACAAAGAAAGCAGATTAGTTTTGTTAAAAACTCGATAATTTGTCTGTTTTGTATGACAATAGCCTACAATGGATTATTTCATCCAAAGTAGATTTTCACTGAAATTTTTGTTTTTTATTAAAAATAAATGTTGTTGTGAGACTCGGTGTGGTTAATAACTTGTTTTTGGTTTGGACATACAATCGCATATCAGTTCTTAGATTCTGATGGAATGCGATGCCGCGTATCAACTATAGTTGAAGAGTCTGAGTCCCATTTTTCAGAAGATATTTTCCACTATGTATTTACATAGCAAACGCAAACCATTTGTATTTTATCTTTCAGAGTTATGAGTAGCTTTTCAAGGATCCTTAACAATGCTCTGCCTGCCGGGGATGTCCTTGACATCCCGAGTCCCAGTACTGCTTTGCAGTAGTGGAAGTCGTCCCCGAGCTGCCAGTAGCCACCTTGTCTTGCTTTTAGGTTAGTCATCTACTAGCAGGACTTTAAACTCTACCCTAGTGAAACTTCTTGTAACCAAGATCTTGACTTCTTGAATTTTTTCAGTAAGATCTTGATTCAAGATCTTGGTAAGAAAATATAAGAATTCAAGAAATTTCAAGAAGTCAAGATCTTGAAC